TCTTCTTTTATAGCCCTCCGGATCAAGCAAAACTTCAGTAAAGAAATGAGGCCCGAAGAAAAAGTTGCGCCCGGATGAAAGGTTCACAATCACAGAAATCGTGCACGATGGCCAACCAATTAAACCCCTCCGGACCAAGGAAGCATTTTCTGCTCAGTGCGGGGTTCTTGTTAGGGACATGATCCCGATCAGCATCGAGCTATGGAATCAGCCTAAGAAGGAAGAGCTTCATGTTTCTTTTGTCAAAGATAGACAGAAAGATGATCTTTAGAAAGTGCTGAAGGTAAATTTCACCCTATCGGAAGAGGAGGATCCGGAGAATCCAGTTATAGAGTCATTAATCAAGTCCTGTGCTCTCAAGAAGATGGCAGATCTATTCAGGAGGTGGAAGAATGAGTTGAAAGCAACGTATGTCGACCAAGACAAGACTCCAGAATTCATCGGCCGATTTGAGAAGATAAGAGATCACTAGCCTGCATTTGTGGCCAACAAGATATCGGAGAGGAGTAAGAAGATGTCAGCGATTAACAAGATAGATGTTGCAAAGAAGGAGCATCACCATCGCATGAGGTCAGGTGGCTACCTCAAAGCCCGTCCATTATGGGACAAGGCTGAGCAGGACCTGATTGCTAAAGGGGTCGAACCAGAGACATTGCACTGGCCAGACCGTTCAAGGACTTGGTTCTTCGGGGTTGGTGGAACATTGGACCCTGAAATAGGGAAGTGTTGCTGGACGGACGAGCAACTTGCAACACCCGTCACGAAGCTTCGAAAAGCAATCAACGAAGTGCAGGAAGGGAAGTTCGTTCCCGACAGAGAGAACGACGAGCTCACAAGGGCCCTCGGGAATCCTGAGCATCCTGGACGAACACGAGGCACGCCAGGCTCCGTTGCGTGGAAGGTTGGGTTTCCCAACGCAGGCGGTTACAAAACCCAAGAGAGGAGGAGGAAAGTGGAGGAGAGCGAACTTGAGGAGCTTAAGGCAAGGGTACGAAAGCTAGAGGAACGACAAGATGTTGAGAACCAGCAGCTGCGAGATCCTGCCCAAGAAGCTACCCCAGAAGGTACCCTGCCATCTCAGCGGAGAAGCAGCATGGCTTCCATCGAGCTTGTTCAGCAGCCTGACTTGACGGGTCCTAGCTACTGGGTGGATTTTATCACGGATTCACACCAGTGCCACCTTATGACATAATGGCTTCAGCTCAAAGTCAAGGCGACTGTCGGCTCTATGTTCCCTCCTTCACCCGGAGCAACTTTTCACTACCGTCTGATTCCACAAGGCTATGTTTTTGTGATGGTGGACGAAATAATGGAGGGATTTGAGGAGCTCCAGCTTGAGCACCCTACAGGTGATGGGGAGACTCAGCTGGGTCTTGCTATGAATACTCCGTGTCTATGGCGGAAGGAGCACATCAAGCTTCTGAACTTCACGGCTCCTGCGAGTCAGCTGGGCACTCCGCCTCCTCCACCTCCTCCTCCTCCTCTCGCGAGTGATCAGGGCACTCTGCCTCCTGCTCCAGCGCGTGAGGGCGGCAATACTCCGCCTCCTTCTCCGCCCGCTCCGGCGCGTCCGAGCAGCTCGTCTCCTCCTTCGTCGCCTCGTAAGTGATGGTGGAACACAGACACCGCCGTCCCGACTGCTTCGGTGCATCGTAGCAGTCCGCCTCCGGCTGCTTCGCCTCTTAAGCAACGAAATAAGACAGCCGCAACCGCTCTGGCTGCTCCGGCGTCTAGCAGTACAACCAGAGGCGGGAGGCAATACAGATTTGGTCCATCGTCTCTCAAGCCTCTAGAGAAGTTACCATACAAGAGGAGCGATGAGGAAAACCAAAAGATCTATGAAGGCCAAGTGAGCGACTTCTTTGAATCGGTAAAAGCTAAGAAACATCCACCTTCGGAGGAGAAGATAGATCCGGTGAAAGCGAAGCGCACTTTGGATGCCCTGCAGCGACCATCACCGCCTCCGCCGCAATCCAACTATGACCGCGTCATTGAAAGGACATATAAGTAAGCGGAGCAGTTGGGAAGTACTTGCACTGATCAAAGGCTAGCAGAACGAAGGAGAGGAAAAAATCCCCAGCTCGGCAAACAAGCGAAGCAATCGTGCCCCCCGCTCAATGTGTCTAGCGATGTCGTCGCTAATCTTCCGGGGATGCTGCCCGGTACCACTCCTGGAGATTACATGCCCGACGACATTGCACTTTTTGAAATAATGGAGGTGGACACATTAAGATTCCGGGACGGGAAGCCTCTCGTCAGACCTGGTACTGCCCTAACAACGATGATGCGAAGATTCCATGATTGGTACATGGACATCTGCAGGAAGTCTGGGACAGATACTTTGGCGCTGAGAGTTAAAGAGGAGCACGACCTCATTGGAATTGATCTGTTGTCTGTTCCATATAAGGAGTTCTTCTAGTTTTTCAATCAAAAGGCCCTCGATAAAACAATCATCACTTGCTACTATCTGTAAGTATTACCTCTCTGTAATTAATTAAGTCTCTATATATAGCTTAGCTCTTTCATTGCATGTATATATAATTATCCTCACTATATTATGCAGATTGAAGATCGCCGAATTGAAAAAAAGACAAGTAGGTGATATTGGGTTCATTAACACAAATCTCATGGATGAATGGAGTGTTAAACATGATCCCAGAGATACCGAGGCCAACTTGCTACAATCGTTACTTTGAAGTCAAAACAAAGCTACAATACTTTTTCCTTACGAATACAAGTGAGTGTTACTGTATTGTGCATATCCGGTTTCTCTTATTACTCGAGGTTATAGTACTGTAATTGATGAGTTATGCATGTGTGCGCAGCTTCCACTTTATTCTGCTAGAGATTAAGCTTGAGCAGGGACTAGTAACCGTCATAGACTCCAAACGAAAAAAAATGCTCGAGAAGTAAGTTCAATCATTATCGCACCATATCGGCAACTTTGTTCATTTCCTGATTTCAAGTAATTGTTTTCTTTGTCTGGCAGGGTTTGGAAAAATTTCACCGCACAAGCTCCGGGATTGCCGGCGCAGCTGCAATTTAACCACCCGAAAGTAAGTAGTAGCTACTAGCTAGTTCCGTGCATCTCCCATTGATTCTAGCTAGTTTCATTAATACCATTTAGCATGCTTGCTTATTAGTTTGATTGACCTCTATTTCTTATAAAGTGGTTGTGGCAGGAACCCGGGAATGATTTCTGTGGATACTACATTTGCGAGTTCATCCACCACACGACCTGTGAGCGGGGTTACTCTAAACAACAATATGAAGTGCGTAAGCAATAATATTCACAATTTTATTTTATTATCATTATTTGTGTTGAGTTTCATTCATATATACGTATTGACCCCCTTCTTCAAATTAGATATTTCAGATGTGGGATGAACTCCTACCACAAGATCGCATATGAGCAATTCAAGAGGAATTGGCGGGATTCTTTCTTGACCACGTCATCGACAAATGCGGAGAATACCATGTGAAAGTTGAGTTCAGATGTTAGGGAATTTTGTAAGAGATCTTATATTGTCTATATATATATATATATATATATATATATATATATATATATATATATAGCCAGTAGCATCAGATAGATATATGAAAACTTTTTGTTCGACCAATCTATCGGAGAATGAGAGGTCGATCACTTCTCTCTGTGTATATGTTCATGATGATCTTCTGTACTTAATGGTTTCCTTCATTT